ATTTTTTGACCGAACCATCTCCACTATTCTAGCTGACATGTGCCGACCACATGCACTGGTATAAAAATGAACTGCCACACTTTTTTCTCTAATATTAATTGGTAGTAATGGATTATCAGCTGTGATTGAGCCAATGAAATATTTTAAATATGTATTTTCTTTTCTTAGCTTTTCTACATCTTTTTTTATTTCTTCTATTATTTTTTCATTTTCTTCTTTTATTATTGCAATTTCTTTTGTAGATTCTTCTTTTATTTGTTCATTTTCCTTCTTCAATTGTCCACAAGCTACAGCTAATAGTGTCATGTGTTTAGTATCAGCAGTGTGTACATGTACATCTTTACGTAATGGCTTATCATTACAACCAGCCCAACTAAACACACAATCTACTGGCTCTAATGGACACTCGTTGATATGAGCAGTGAGACTACCTCGTGGCATAGTAGTAGACACACATTTATTGGGACAAGTAACAGGATACTGCCTGCATTCCTCATAATGATCCTTTGTAATAGAGAGGAACGTACCTTTACTCCTGCAGTATTGGCATTGAAATAGACGTTGAGGGCATTCGTCATCTTCATGATCCTTAAGATATCTGCGTTGCCTTCTTTCTTGACATTTCTCATGTTGACACTTTACTTCTTCATATTGACATTCTCCTCCTTTCCATTGACATCCTTTCTCCTTATTACTGCAGTAGACCTCCAATCCATTGATGATACGTGAACACTTCTTTTCGATAAATGATTGATATTCCTTCTCTTTACACATAGGACAGAATCCATTACTAGCTTTTACTCTCTCAATACAAGACCCACAGAAATTATGTCCACAGCAGCTCACAATATGAGGATCTGTCAACTTAGTGTCAAGATATTAAGACAAACTGGACACTCTATCTCCACATGCTTAGGAAGATCCTCAACAAAAGAAAGCTCTTCTTTCTGCATCTGAGCCATGTAGATTGTTTTTGTTTATTTGCATGTGACCTACAGTCACTGATCCTATCTCACTTCCTGTGATTTTAATCATTATTTAGTTACTCTTAACACTATTACATTATTGTTTGCATCTAATGTAAACTGACTTTAAGAATTTTTAATCTTTTATACTTATAGTAAAGCTTCATAAGTCAACACAAGAATTAATAAATACATGTTACACATCATCAGATTAAATCAGTAACGTCTCGATAATGCATATATCTTCATTAGTTTCTTTGTGAGTCTAACTAAACACACAATCTACTGGCTCTAATGGACACTGGTGATTAATGTGAGCAGAAAGAACATGACGTGGCATGGTATTCAACGTACAGTTATTGGGACAATGAATCAGGTAATCTGCACAATTATTATATTTGTAATAGAAAGGCATGTGCCATCTTTCCAACAGTATAATTGTCCTCAGAGACCATTCAGATGCCAATAGATTGTATTGGCATCTGAACGGTCTCTGAGGAAATTCTTTATCTTCATGATATACTAAA